TCTGCAATTTTATGATCGGGTTTTTCCGCAATACTTTAAACAATAATAAAGACTAGGAAAATCTACAGATATAAATCAACAAAATTTATAAATACGATAAAATAAAAATGCATATAGCACTGCCTATCCTAAATTCCCACCTTGAAAACCCTATAACCATCGTTTTAGTGGGATAAAATGCTAGCGCTAGGGATTAATGAGGTGCACTATATAAACTACTGCTGCCCTTTTTCCAGCTCTATTTTGAGGATTACTTTGCGGCTAGCTGCCTATCCTTAACGATCTGGCAACAGTATCTTATGTAGGCCCACTCATTAATCCCTACGCCCTGCATGTTTCCCTACAAAAACGGTGGTTATATGGTTTTATGTGTGGGGAATTAAGACACGCAGTAGAACATGCTTTAATGAATGCTAAATGCATTTTTTACTGTATTTAGAAGTGTTTTTGAATTATATCTGTATATTTTCCTAATCTGTATTATGGTTTAACTTATTACGGAGAAACCTAACTATCAAATTGCAGGTTGCTTGAATTTTCCGAAAAATTGCACTGATGGTTAGGATGTCGTCTAATTCACCTTTCCTGAGGTCCAATCTACCGTGCTGGAGTCAGATTAGTATAGCCCGCGCACACATTCAATTTACATGCGGAACAACTTACTCCCAGCGGCCGCGGGAGGCAAATTTGTCTACATTCTTTTCACTTTACAATTACTTCTAAAAATTCCCTTCTCTACTTATCCTATTTCCCCACAACCCAAAACTCCATAACCACCGTTTTTGCAGGACAAAATGCTGGGACTAGGGGTATATGAGTGGACCTACATAATCTATTTTTGCCGACGATCTTTTAAGAAAAATGAGTGGATGACGGCTAGGAAACCAAAACTGACCATTTTAGTCTCCTTGTACTTTGTCAGTAATGTCTATCTGCCTATATCACTAGTCACTGTGCGACTGTTGGCGGGGCTAGAGATCGAACCCCAAGGCAGAATGGAGCGAGTGCGTTTCGTAAGGGTTCTGCGAGAGTTCATCCGTCAAACACCTCTAAATTACCGATTACTATTTGCCGTACAACCGTCTGCGGTTTAATCTCGAGATATTTCATTTTCGT